GCCTAAATAGGAAGAACATAAGTTCAGAACTTCTTAAGGAAACTAGGACTAGCAGATACATGCTTGTTTCTGATTTATAGTTTTGACATTTTTTATGCTTCTGAAACCATGATGGAAACCTGCCATGATTGCTATGTTTGTGTTTTATGTTCTGTTGAGAAATGACTAAGTTGCAGATGTTCTGATTAGCATGGAGAAAGAGATGAAGCTCATCATCAGAACTTACTTTATGTTATATGTTCATGCTTTTACTTATAATATCGGATGTACATCCACCCCAGTGGTAGAAAGCGTATGCATAAGACATTAGTGCTAAGGGTCCTGGGTTCTAGCCCCAGAAGCATCTTTTTAGGTTTATTTATTGACATTTTTTTACCCGTTTATCTGTCAGACGATACTCCTAAACCAGAACTTCTAGATATCATCACCTAACATCATAATCACTCCACTCTCTCAAACAATCATAACTTCTGACTTGCCAGAGATATATGAACTTCTAGGTTCTCAGCTACGCTATAGCTTCTGAACCCCTCAACATCAGAACTTGGTGTACCCAGGCCCAGAACTTCTGACCCTCCACTTTCTCACTAACATTTTCTCTTTTGCAGCGTATCAGAGTCAGAACTTCTTTTCTTTCTCGTTTCAGCAACGTGTTGATTCTGACTCCCTTTTCTCTTATTTATCTTATTTTAGCTTTTAATAACCAAAAACACAAAAAAAAAATTCTATATTCACATAATTTATCCCTTTTAAAATTAAAAAAAAAATCAAAAAATGTTTTCTTAGCAAACTTATTTCTTTCCTTAACAAAAATAAGTCTATTTTACATTTCTTGTATATTATTTCAATATGGTTGTAATAGATAATTAGGATTTTTTTTTATTTCTCGCAATCCCCATTGTAAATTTGTACACCCCATCACCTTAATGATGTAATAGTGTAGGACTTTACTTTCCCGCACTTTTATTGCTTTCTTACAATGTTAGTAATTAGGTGTGTAGGGCAAGATAAAAACAACAAATAGACAACCCAAAAATCAAAGACTAAATGCATGCAATCAAACACACTATTCACACATGCACCCTTAGGGTAATCCCGTTTTGTTGCCTTTCGCAAAATAGTCATGTCCCTCGAACATGGGCGTTTTAGCAAAGACCCTCGATAAAAGATCGTAGTCCCTCGATGACCCTCGATGTTGCCTTCGGTGAACGATCTAGTCTCTAAACGATATTGCTAAAACGTCCCATAGGTTGTCTTCTATGACTATACAAACGTCCCACGCCCATCCCTTCACATCCAACGATGGGGCTACTTACCAAAACACTGGTAAGATAACAACATTTAAAGGAGGAGGAAAAGAATGTTTAAGACCTTTTGAGTAGGTAGGTTCGCTCCTAGTTGCTCGCTTGCTCACAACAAAAACATTTTATACACCAACACACTCATTTGAAACATTTTCAAAAGAGAAACACTTTGTACGCATTCTTATAGAAACGAGAGCCATTACAAAGAAGACACCTTTTCAAGATCACTTTCAAAAAACACATTCCATAAACACTTCTTTGAACTATTTTCAAAACAACACTTTGTACGCGTTCTTATAGAAACGAGAGCCATTATAAAGTCACATTTTCAAAATACTTTCAAAACCCATACCATAAGCACACATTTGAACAAAAGCAAGTGATCTAGTAAGAAACTAAGAGCCCGTAGATAACTACGGATAAAAGGGTGCTAATACCTTCCTTTTCATAATCTACCCCTCAAACTCAAGAAAACATCTCAAAGGTCTTTCCTGCATTAATACCTGCATTATAGCAAAAGATGCTTGGGAAATTCTCAAGACAACTCATGAAGGTACATCTAAAGTAAAAATGTTAAGACTCCATCTTCTAACTTCTAAATTTGAGAATCTAAATATGAATGATGATGAGACCATTCAGGAATATCATATAAAGATTCTTGAAATAGCTAATGCGTCTAGTGCCTTGGGAGAAAAGATGTCATAAGAAAAGCTTGTTAGAAATATTATTAGGTCTCTACCTAGGAAATTTGACATGAAGGTAACAACTATGGAAGAGGCTCATGACATCAGCAACATGAGGGTTAATGAACTTGTTGGTTCACTTTAAACCTTTGAGTTATCTATCAGTGACAAGTCTGAGAAAAAGAACAAGAGGATAACTTTTGTTTCCAATGCTGAAGATGAAGAAGGCCAAGCTGGTCTAGATACTGATGATGGTCTGTCCAATACTATTGTGTTACTTAGGAAACAATTTAATACAATTCTGAAGAGAATGGATAGAAGAGGACTATCAAATGTTTAGAACATCTCATCTGACATCAGTAATAACTATGATGCTCAAAAGAATACCAAAACAGAAGACAAGTTAAATCAAAGCAAAGGTATTCAATGTTCTGAATGTGAAGGTTTTGGTCATATTAGGCAATAATTTCCCGACTCTCTCGAGAAGTGGAAAAAGGGATTCATCGTATCTTGGCCTGGTGATGATGAGTCAGGAGATGAGGCTAACCCCGAGACTTCCAAACTTGTGATGACTCTCTTTGGAAGATGGGCATATGAAATGGAAGCTTATGATGAAAATGTTCTCTATGAAGACCATGATGTATCCCATAATGACACATGTGACAGGTGTGAAGAAAGTCTTAAGACAGTAGAAGAACATAGGGAGATAATAGTTGAATTGGAGAATGAAAAGAAGAAGCTTCTACGTTCTGTGTCAAATCTTCAAGGTGAAGTATCTTTCTTAAATTCCAAGCTTAATAACATGTCAGATTCTTTGAAGAAGATGAATAGTAAAGTTGGTATGGTGAAAGAGGATGAAGATACATAAGTTGATTATCAGTCTGATAATAAACAAAGAAGATTGTCTTAAAAGAAGATCTTTTCTCCTGAAAGGAATAAAATGATCAACATGTCCACAACATGTTACAACATCTTGGCAGACACGATGAGGCTTTACCTATATTTTAATCATCCACTTGGATATGCCATTATTGGGGTGAGCATGGCCATATTAAGACTTTCTGTTATAAACTGTATAAAGATAAAAAATCTCCAATTCATTCTAAGTTTGATCAAGTGAGCAAATAGAGGAGTTTTGAAAATAAGGATATTAACTTTATTGCTCATACTTCCTTAAGTGACTCAAATGGAGTAGACTGGTATTTTGAAAGTGGGTTCTCTAGACACATGACATGGACTCAGAAGTTATAGGGGAATATTAGGTCTTATCCCACACGTTCTGTAAGATTTGGTGATGGGTTTAAAGGTGAAATCAAAGGAGTTGAAAATTTGATGTGTGTTTGTTCTCCTAGTTTAGAAGATGTTCATTATGAGAGAGGATTAACTGCTAATTTCATTAATATTAGTCAATTGTGTGACCAAGGTGTATTAGTCAATTTCTCAAAATATGTATGTCTGGTCAAAGATGAGAAAGATGTTGTTGTGATGAAGGGCATAAGGTCTAAGGACAATTGATATTTATGGGAATCTAAAATAATTGCTTACCCTTCCACATGTTTAATAGTTAATGAGAATGAAGTAAATCTATGGCACCAGAAACTTGGAAATATTAATATAAAAGAAATGATGGAGATTTTATCTGAAGGAGCTATCAAGGGAATACCAAAGCTCAAAATTGGACAAGGTAAAGTCTGTAGTGGGTGTGAAATTGGAAAGTAATCCATGATGTCACACTCGATGTTGCAACGTCAGACTACTTCTAATGTATTGGAACTTCTTCATATGGATATAATGAGACCAATGCAGATAAAAAGCTTGGGTGGAAAGAGGTCTGTCTATGTGGTTATAAATGATTTTTCTGGATATACTTGGATGGATTTTCTTATAGAAAAATCAGATGATTTTAAAGTCTTCAAAATTTTGTGTCAAAGTATTCAAGAGGAGAAGAATAGTGAGATTTTCAAGGTCAGAAGTGAACATGATAAGGAGTTTGAGAATGCAAAATTCTCTGAATTTTGTGTTTCTAAAGGTATTAGTCATGGATTCTCTTGTTCCATCACTTATATGCCAAGTAGAATTGTTGAGCAAAAGACTAGGATTATACAGGAATCAACTAGAGTTATGCTTTCTTCTAAGCAATTACCATTGGGGTTTTAGACTGATGTTATGAGTACTGCTTGCTACATTCATAATCGGGTCACCTTGAGAGAAGGTACTTCAACTAATCTCTATGAGATAAGAAAAGGAAGGAAGCCTACAATCAAGTACTTTCATACCTTTGGAAGTAAGTGTTATGTCTTGGTGAACAAAGAACAAAAGGGTAAGGAGAATCTCATAAGGAATAAAGGGATATTTTTGGGTTACTCTTCAAACAAAATAGTTTACAAAGTTTTTAACTCTAGAACTAGAGATGTTATGGAATCAACAAGTGTGATACTTGATGATCCATCCACTAAAAGAGAGAAGGATGTCAAAGACAACGTTGAGACATCTTATGTGCAGTCTGAGGAGATATAAAAAGAAGCAATTTGTGAGTCTACAAGTGTTGATCCAGAAGTTAGAGTTCACACATAACAACTCAAGGAGATCAATACAAGATACTCTAATGAAACCGATATTACATAATTCAGTAAAGAAATATCAAATTCACGTATGGTTTTTAAGCTTGCACCAAGGTTGTGTTCTATTTTTCAAGAAAGAAGGATCTTGAACTGCACCATTAAGTTAAAGTGGGTTAGTAGTGTTACACTCCAAATTTTACTCTTAGTTATTTTCATTCACATTTTTTATATCCAAATTAATTTTTTATTCGCATGTTTACATTTTAACGCGCATTTACATTTATTTCTGATTTAAATTTACATCCATATATATACATATATATTTTTGTTTAGTTAAATTTTTAAATTTACTTTCATTTAGTTTTCTTATTTTTGTCATTTAATTAAAATATAAAAAAATTGATTAAAAGAAATATGTGTTTCTTTTATTTATTTTATTTTTGATTTACCTTTCAAATTATTTTTGCCACTCTTCCAACAATCACCGCTATTTCCATCTCAGCCGCGCCATCCCACAACCGGAGCCACCACCCTTCGGACCACTCCGGCCACCACATATCTCTCTGTTCCGATTGAACTGCTACCGGACCACAACCATTCACAAACTTCCTCTGTTCAGTTCGGCTTCTCACCATCCGAGCAAACCCAACAAACAACTTCCATTTCCGCCCAGCAAGTCCGCTGTACAGCCAACATCATGAGCTCTCTTGGTTGATTGCCATTGTCCCCGATTCCGTGTCTAATTTCGTAGCGGTATATTTCTTCTCTCACAGTTTTTTTTTTAGCTTTTATATTTCCGTCTCAGGAATCACACCTTTTGTAGCTTTCTTGTGTAATTTTGAAGAGACTGAATTGGCATTCTGAACCTTGGTTTAATACATGCTGCTAAATATCACAGAGTGCTTGGTTCACGCAATTTTGTGGTATATGCATTACTGTTGTCAAATTCTGGAAATTGTGTGCACATTGTTGAATCTAAATAAATCTGAGATGTTTTTGTGTTTCTGTTTATCAAAGTTGATGTTGTTGTGGTGATAATAGTTTTGGAATTAGTTGATGAAATTGTTTTTTGATTTAATATGGAGATTGTGTTGATTTGTTGATTTGAAGTATCATGTCGGCATTTCGCTTTGGTTTTGAATCCGGATATGGAAGTTCTCCATGTTTTGTTTGTGATAAATCCGCAAGGTCTTTGATTTTGGATTTGTGTTAACAATGCTATTCTTGATTTTAATATGGATATCCAATTTGAAAGAGATAGTGATGACGTTTTGGTTTCATTTGAGTTTAAATCAATTATAGCATAGTTTTGTTGTTTCTGTTGATGTTGAGCATGATTGAAACGAATTTTATTGAGCATTATTGTGATTGCGTAGTTGTTGCCCGTGATTTGGTTTAAGGATTTAAAGCTTACTTTGAATTTGTTTTTCATTTTGCAACGTGAATCTTTGGCTCTTGTTTCACTTGTGTTTTGAAAATCATGATTATTCTTGAGTTTACATGATTGAACGTGTTTAGAACCATGTATGCTTTGCTGATTTTTTTTAGCTGGCCATTGACAATAACATGAGTTTTTGACTCTCGTTGCATTTGCGTTTGGAAAATAATGTTTACCGTTGTGTTTGCTTGAATTTGAATGTGTTTAGCATAGTGAATGCAATGCTGATTTTTGGCATTTACTTTGAATAAACATTTGTTTTCTTCATTCTTGATTGAGAAATATTCATTTATTCATATTACATTCATGCAAGTTTCATTTGGTTACAATTTTTCTTGTGATTACTAACTTGTTTGTTGTTATGTGCAAGTTTAAAAGAAGTCTTGAGTTCCTTTCTCCATCACAATTTCATTTTACTTTTGATTTCTGTTTTCATTTTAATCCATTAGTTTTATATTGTTTTAATTAAATGGTGCTTGTTAATTAAAATAAATTAGTTTACTAATCTATTTTTCTTAACTTCATTAATTGATTTGATCAATGTTTAACTAATTGATTCGCTTTTTATTTCATCCTTCGTTTTTTTTAAATCTTTTCACTTTGATTAATTAATTAGATGTTGATTTAGTTACTTGATTTAGTTAATTAAAATGGATTAGTTTACTAATCTATTTTTCTTAACTTCATTAATTGATTTAATCAATGTTTAACTAATTGATTCTCTTTTTATTTCATCCTCCATTTTTCTTTATCTTTTCACTTTGATTAATTAATTAAATGTCGATTTAGTTACTTGATTTAGTTAATTAAAATGGATTAGTTTATTAATCCTCTTTTCTTAACTCAATTAATTAAGTTAATCAACTCTAAATTATTTGATCAAACATTCACTTCATACTTCATATTTCATTTGTTTCATTTAGTTCACATGAGATGTTCGGATTATTTCTATGCTATCCTGGTTTATTTGTTTGTTGGAAACTTCATCTGATACATGGATTCTTATCTGACACTTTGAGCTTACTTGGTGCACTTTCTCGGCTTGTGATTTATTTTCACTTATTGTGCTTTATGTGATGTTTTGAGTATTATCTGATACCTTGAGTTTCTTTGATGTTGTCTGCTTGTGATTTATTTTCACCCGAAGTTTGATATACTCTTAGGTTATTTATCTGCTTGTGGCTTTAAATTCAAAGGGATGTGAATGCTATATTGATTTCTTTATATTCACGTATGAGCTTCTGTTTGGTCATATCTTCTTTACATTTACCTTTTACTTTCCTGTACATAGGATACTCTCTTCATCTCCTTCCGTTCTTCAATTTTCCACAACATCTTTCTTTTTTCAAGACGTATTTCTTTTCAAACTTTAACCACTTTCATAATAAACTTTGATTTTATCAAGTGACTTTCTTTTCAAATTTCTTTTTCTTTATCAACTGTAAAAAACATTTGATAAATTTGGTATGTACAAATACGCCATGAGTCTTAAGCACATGTGAAGTATTTTGGATACGAGGCGTCTGACTTGACCATTCAAAAGTCTCTCATGTAATAGACTTTAGTATTGGACTTATCTCAAACACTTTCAAAAAGACTAAAAAACATTCAAATCTTTTTTCATATTAGACATGATTTATTTTATAATTGAGATGTTATTCCTCTATCCTCGTGGTTGTCGACTTTTTCACTTGAGTGTTAGAGGTGTTCTTAAATTATCCCTCTTGTTGGTGCGTAATCTTTCTTTCTTATATCTTGTGGGCGATGAGACGATTCTTCTCCTTAAAAATGATGGTTCGTCTCTTTTTTAAAAATCAATCAACACATAATTTTATTATTTTTAAGCTGAATTACAGTGCTCTGACTTTTCCATTGTACGAGGGAGTACATAGGCACTAGGTCTCACGACCAAAGGCGAGAGCAATAATAAAAAGTATTTCTTTTGTTTGTAAATATTCATTCATTCATTCCCTTTAGCAAGTTTAAGTTTTAGATAACACACTCTCTGATTAAAATAAACAAAGTGGATCCTACGGAGTACCGTAGATGCTTAGGGGTGTTAATACCTTCTATTTGCATAACCGACCCACGTACCTTGATCTCTATTTCTTTTGTGGGTTTTATTTGCTCTTTTCCCTTTTCCCTTTAGAATAATAAAGTGCGGTGACAATTTTATTGTATGATTAGTCAATTAATGACTTAGTCTCAAATCTTTACCGCTACATTTTCGCATACAACATGACAAGTAGGTATTTGTATCTAGGAGGTAGTTTGATTTCCTCTAAAAATACAAATGTTTCTGAGTATGTTGGAATAATGAGAGGTTGTTCTCAATTGGTATGGATTGACCAGATGTTGAAGGATCATAATGTCAAACATGATGTCATGAAATTATTTGGTGAAGATTGAAATGATATCAGATATCTCATTCAACATAGTTGGAACAAGAACCTTGATAGTCCTAATCAACTTATCAAGAATTTTGCTGAAGGAAAAGTTATTACTCTGGAGCATATGAACAATAAGGAACAACTTGTTGTTATGTTTAAAAATCAAATTGAAAACATGAGCAGTGGGATTGGAACTTGCACTATTGAAGAGTTATATCAATTAATATATGAAAGAGTGTTACTGATACTTCATTTTCCTATATGTTCTGATGCTTAAGAAGCCTAAGCAAGCTGCTATTAAATGGGACAAAGGTGTTCTGCAAGATAGAAGGGCTGATGATAACACCAAAGGCAAGAGGTGAATGACCACTTGAATATGTTGAAGTTTGTGTGTTTCCAATATGTGTTTCCATCTATGTTTTGTGCTTGTATGTCATGTATGCTTCCATTTTTGTGTTTACATTTACTTCATTTTTGTCAATTTTTGACTAAAAAGGAGGAGTAAGGTATTAGTGTTTTCCGTGTGTCCCAGTGTTATGAAACATTGATCGCGACTTTATGTGTCTACTTGATTAACTAACTGCAAGTGCACAGTTTGTCGCGTAGTTTTACAGATTATCGAATCACAAAGACTAATTATCAACTATTGTTATATGTTGCTACTGTGTAAAGCTAAGGCTAATGATTATCGGGATTAAACGGGAATAAAAACTGAAAGGAAATGAATATTTAGGAATTAATCAAGAATTAGAGACCGAAATATGGATTTCTCCGCTCTTCAGGGACTCAATAATGATCTGGCGTTAGTTTGACAATAAATCGTTTTCAGTAGAAAATGACAAGTTTAAAGACTTAATCTCACCCTCTCAGTCTAATTGATTAAAGCCACACTCATAATCATGATATTTTGCTCTCGCTCGCCCATTTTAATTAAAAGTGTATTTTGAAAAGTTGTTAAGTCCTAATTGATTTCTAAAGCGCTCTCACTGTATTTAGAATCAATGTCAAGCATTTACTATCTGGTTTATTCCTCACCTTCTCGGTCAAATTGGATTAAACCTTAATTGATTTCACTTTTACGTTAAAACATTTTAATTATACTTGGAAAACAAAACCAGAAAATTAATTTAAGGAAAAATACGCCATTTCAATTACCGAGTCCCTTCTAAACGATGGTCCTCATATACCAGATTCGCACAAAATTTATTCAAACATGCTTTGATACAAAAACAGATTTAACATTACGAAAAAGATTCAGAATAACATATTGATCATACAAAGCATACAATAAGTAATTAAGGCAATAATATAAATAAAATTGTAAATGCTTTAATTGAAATCGAAAAAACCTCGAGTACAAAAATTTGGAAATAAAACAGTGCTACATTGCCGGCAAAATTGTGATCCAAGAGCAGTAAATACAAAAGCGTAAAACTAATGGTGTGATAATCCCTCAATGCAAAGGATTACCACTTTGAAAACTGAATTTATGCTTAGAACTAATTTTGTCAAAGCTTCTGCGCAAAACTTTGATTCTTAGATCTCAGTAGAACTGCTTTTTTATAGTGTTTTGATGTAGTGCCAAGCCACCGGATCGTGTAAAAGTGGGTTGAGAAAAAGTAGGGAAGGTGGAGAGAATATATGAGGCTTAAGTTTCCATATTTTGACTGTCTGCTGGTTCATTGCAACCGCCATGTGGCCATGGCGAACGCCATGGTTAAGTGAGTTACTGATGTGGCAAATGAGGTCCACGACGGTAGCCATGAGGTCTTGACGAACGCCATGTACCAGAAACCAGCATTTCTTGCATTTTCTTCCCTTTTCTTGTACTTTCATTGGTTCTCTTGCACACTATTCCTTATTGAAATAGCCTCTGAAATGAAACATAAAACAACATAAAAATACGATAAAGTAGAGAAATGAAACTAATTATCAAGCGAATCGAGTAAGAAAATAGGATACATTTTCACGTTATCAAACTCCCTCACACTTAGACTGTGGCTGCTTGACTATTGTTAGATTGATAGGTACTGAACATCAACACCAAGGAAAACTCTCACCCTATGCAAACCAATCTGAATCATGCTATTATAACTCAACCTATGTTTTTCGTCTCTTTTCACCCACTTTCATTCAAGCGCAATCACATTAAGTCCTGTATAAGTACGCATTCATAGCAAGGGAATCAATTAGCAACTTTGGTCCTTTTTCTTTCTTTTTTTCGCACGAGGTTCTGGTAACTAATCGGTGCAACCCTATTCTTCCCAACTGTAATTGCAGGGGATTGAACTGTAATCTGCCCTACTAAGTCTATCTCCAGTGACCTCTGAACGAACTAATAATGGGTGCTTATTAATAAATCCTTACAGGTTTAATAACTGTTAGGCTAAATGACTGGGTGAGGGTCACCTAACTTGGAATATTATTTTTCAATTAAATTATATATTCATTAAAAAACATGATCATTCACTTATATTAATTGACTTCCCTACGGAGAGCGTGCTTAGGATTGTGCTGACGACTATTATAAACTACTTGGGGTTACTTTAAAACTCAAACTTAAGGTCTCGACATAATAGGTACTCAAATTGGTTTTTACATAAGGGTTTCAAGACGGTACCTAATTTATCGAATCTTTCCCAAGTCTCTCTAACAAAGCCTAAAATGCAAAACAACCAATATACTCTTAGAGACTTATGTCATGAATCAAACAAAAGTTTTCTGTTGGGGGTCAATTTTTAGGGAAGTTAAACAACAAATTAAAAACATGCATACATGACTCGACAACACATGCCTAGACTAAACAAAAACTGAAATCAATTAAAAATCCTAACAACGTACAATACTAAGAAAATGATAAATCTACCTAAAAAGCGATAAATAAAAGCAATAAAGCTTCCTCCCCCACACTTAAACTGAACATTGTTCGATAAAAGATGGAAAATGAAGGTAGTACATGTGTACTACTACTGGCCTCTATGATCATCATCTCCATGGTCCCGCTGGTGATGGTCACGTCGCTATATATGGCTTTTGCTACGGCTTTGGGAACTCTGGGAGATGAGTAGCTGCTGGATTTTAGCTGTTAAAGCATCGTTGGATTCTTGCAGGCTTTAGACGTTTCCAATGAGAGTTGTCTGATTTGCATGCACTAGGGAAAAGTTACACTGGTTAAACTATTATTGTTCTTGAAATTGCAATGCCAAGGCGGCTTTGTTGCTTCTCATTTCTCGAAGCAATTTTTCATAAGGGTTGCTTCCGGATGATGTACCTACAAAAAAGTTAGAAGAGCCAAATGTAGTGTGTACTTGTGCATTATGAATATTTGCAGGATGACCCTGCTCCATCTGATAAAAATCGTCATCCGTTTGATTGCCCTTATTTTCCTGAACAAGAATGTTTTCAAGGGCATGCTGGTCCGACTCTATGACATTTAGATAATAGAGCCAATTGGTTATGTTTTGCACATCAACGCGCACTGGGTTTGGAAAAATTACGCTCCTCACTTCATGGCTTTGTACCATCAAATAATAGCGACCAAACAACCTATTTTTTATCAAACGTATACTTCAAAAAGCGTCAATATCAAGGAATTGTGTTTCCAGGGGTTGCATGGTTGTTAATTCCTTATTCAGGTTCATAGCCCGAGCTATGAAGGTGTGAAGAATCTAGAAAAAATAAGAATAATGAAGTCTCCATAGAATATTTATTTATCTAAAGGAAGGGAAAAGAAAACATAGAAGAAAACCTAAGAAATGAAATCATCAAGGTCTTGCTACCAAGAGAAGAGTACAGAAGTCGATTATGCAAGAAGAAGGTATTAGCATCCCTCACGTCTGTTGTACTCAACGAGATCCACTATTATTGTTCTAATCAAAGAGTATGTTACATCTAAAGCTTACAAGCTAGGGAAATGCATGAGAATGGACTGTTAACAAACAAAAAGAAAGTTTTTTATTATTGTCCTCGCCTCGGCTTCGTAACCCCGGGCCTACATATTTCTGTCGTGCAATAGAGAATTGGAGCATCGTAGTTCTTCTAAGAAAGAATTGCTTTGTTTGTATTTTTTAGGCGGATAATGTTACATTCACACTCTAGTAGTTGACATATTGTGGCCCGACCTTTGGGGACTCACGCGTTATGTTACGTAGAATGGAAATAACACATCCTTTTTGAAAAGATTTTCAAAAGAAAAGCCTGAAGGCAAAAGAAATTTGATTGGTGAAGTATTTTTGTTACCATGAAAAAGGATTTGGTGATTTGAACCATATTAAAGACTATGATTGAGAGGAAGCACAAGGTTAAGAATGCAACACCTCATACTCCTCCTAATACTTAAGGCTCATGACACATGGTTCGCCTCTTTATTGTTAAGTGCTTTTGACATTTGATTAAGAAAAAAAAAGTTTTAGTCTTAAAGATGTAAAAGGGGATAGAAAAACTCTAAGGTAAACTCAAGTCCTAATATTGTCATGCAATATGGTCCTAAAGTTAGGATTGAGGGAAACTACCTAAGAGTTCTCATGCATCATGGACCTAAGGGCAAGGATTGAGGGAACTTCTACCTAATGTTATCATGCTTGGTTTAAAACTTAAAGTCTATTTAATTCACACATTGAACAAGATGGAATCAAACTCCTAAGGATAAATGTGAGCACAAGCAAAGAATAAACCAAGAGTATACCAAGCATCAAGTGAAAATAAATCACAAGCAGAAAAGAATCAAATAAGTCTAATGTATCAGATAAAAATTCCTACCTCAGATGAAAAGCTGCCCAAACAGACAAAATCAGGATAACAAGGAAATAACCCAAAACTCTCGTATGAAATAAGAACTCAAGTCTAAATGGTCAAAGTCATGTATCACAGCTAAATGAACAAATAAAATATAAAGTAAATGTTTAATTAATTAATTAATTAAAGATTGATTAAATTAAATAATTAGATTAAAAAAATTAATTAACAAAATTAATCAATTTTTATTAACTAAATCAACTTTTGATTAATTAACTAAAAGCAAAAAGATATACAAAGATGAGATCAAATAATTCAATAGAAACTATTAATAATTAAATTATTAACACACAAAACTAATTAAGTTAACTAAAAAAATTTAATAAAACTAATTTATCAAAATTAGTTAAACTAAATAAAAGTAGTTAACAATATGAAGTAATATTAACAATTAACAAAACAAAGACATAAGATAAAACAAATAAGAAAATAAAATAAATTGGGCTATATTGTAGTAAAACAGGGGTATAGTAGCACTAATTTTTTTACTGGGCTTTGGATTGAAGGGAAGGCCCAACTTAATCTTTTTGTTGTCAGCCAATAACAATAAAATTAATGGGAATTTCTTATTGTACCTGTACTTTTCTAACGCACTATGCAAAATTCAAAAAATGTCTCTAAAAATCGGAAATATATTTCCAATCCGCACTTCCGCACACATCATTTATCCGTTTTTAAGATTTGCCCTATTTTACGGTAAAATTGAAACTGAAAATACACTTCCGATATAAATTAAAATATACTTCTGATTCTAACATCATACATAAAAGACCATTACTGAAAATACACTTTTAATTCCAACATGATATATAAGAGACCATTCTAAACCTATATATATATATATATATATATATATATATATATATATATATATATATATATATATATATATATATATATATATATATATATATATATATATATATATATATATATATATATATATATATATATATATATTGCTAAGGTGCATGTATATAGCATGTAGTATGTTTCCAAAAACACATTATAGTAATTTTATTGAGAATGTAAAAGTAACTATATGAAAAAGTCTCAACCAAGTATTTAGTAACTAATCTCGATAAAAATATGATATATAATCAATCTACTAATCCAAGATAATCAAATTATTCTTCTCTAATGATGAATTCTCTTGTTTTATTGGTGTCATTTGTACATTTGAAGCCCTTGAGATTAAATTCTTTTGTTCCGTTCAAACCCTTGAGATTGAAATTTTTTGTTCCGTTAGAGTCCTTGAGATTGGGTGCTGTTAGAACAGGAATGTATTTTCGGTTTATATCGGAAATGTATTTCTGATTTTTATGTAAGTGCAATTTAAAAAAGATGCACATTAGAAATATACTTTCGATTTTAGAGAAACATTTTAGAAATTATGTAGGGTCTTTCTTTTGGATATGAGGTGGAATAAGAAATTCCCAAATAAAAATGGTGCAAGAGAGGTTCGCTGGACTAAGTCGAGGATATTGATTTAAAGGCCTGAAGTTATAAAAAAAAACAGAAAATTCAATCAAATAAAAGGAAATTTCTTATTCCATCTCATGTTCAAAAGAAAGACCTTTTATAATTCCAGAATTATTTCTCAAAAATCGAAAATGTATTTCTGATTCACATCATATATTTTATAAAAACAGATCAAATGTAATTTCACCTTTCAAAATATAAAAACAAAACCAAAAATAAACTTTCGATAATCCTAAAAAATATACTTCTGATTATGTGATTGCCTTGTTTATATTATTGTCATTGACTTATATATATATATATATATATATATATATATATATATATATATATATATATATATATATATATATATATATATATATATATATATATATATATATATATATATATATATAAAATTAGAATGTAAACTATAAATATTAATTATTTTTTAATTACTTTGCCTTAGACTTAGACTAACCTATTAATTTTAATAACTAGTTAGTATGATACTTTTAGTTTAGGTCTGATGTAGCATACTTTTATTTTTAG